AGGGAAGACTATCGTTTAAATATCCCACACCTTTTCAAAAATATTTTAATGTTTATAAAATATTTAATGAAAATGATAAGAAAATAAAATTTATAAATTTTTCAACTTTCTTTCCAAAGATATCCAGATGATAATCAGATGGAATAAAAATAAACCATATTATCGTACATTGACATACTTTTGCTTAAAATTTTTTGCAATCATCATAAAAATAATTGCGCAACCAATCCATTTTATTGTATATCTTTTTCAAATTATGTCTAATTCTTCATCTTTCTTCACTTTTTGTGAAAATTTTATGATTAAATATAAAGCCTTTTCAAATTAAATAATTGTAAATAAAAAAAGAAAGAAAGATAAATAATAGTAGAATTAAATGTAATTCGTTGGCAACCAAGTGCGGCAAAGTTTCTTTTTTTTTGTTTTGTTTTTTTTTTTTAATTATTATAATACCTGTGATAACACGCATGTGTATAATATAATTCAGATAAATTTCAACTTAACTCTTTATATAACAAAATAATTATTTCAAGTTTCTTGCATTCACTTTTATTCCTCATATCAATTACAACACAAATTCTTACAAAGTTTTAAGCTTTTTTCTATCATTAATCATTTTCGATCCTCCTAAAATGGGTCGATCTATATCGAAGGTACGTAAAACTGGTACGTTACTGTTATCCTCTATTGCTTTCGTATCAATATAATCTTCAAATTGTTGCAAACTTTGTTCAACTTCGTGACACATTTTCTTATAATTTAAGGGTACATGAGGATTAGCAATAAGCTCTTGCATAGACCATATTTGAGGTGTAGCTGGTCGATGTGATGATTGATAATGCTGATGAGCACGTTTACAATGAGAAGTTGAAGGAGAAGGAGAAGAAGGACAAGAAGGAGATAATTTCGTTTTACCTAAAATATCTAAATCTGCAGCTAGTTCGTTGGTAACATGCCGTCGTTCATCTTCTTTTGCATATTCACCAACTCTGAACGCTTCTATAAAATCTCTCATAAGGATATTATATGTTATTGGATCGTTTTTTGTTATACTCCTGTCTGTATTATAACGATGAGTTAAGTGACCAAATTTTTCCATTGCCAAAGGCATATCAATCGGATAAGTACCGTTGTAAACAATATTTTTCCGCGTTCGTCCGAAATGACCAGTTGTTGGTAATTTAATAGGTAAGTGTTGCTTAATTGATTTCTTATTAACGTTATCAAATTTTTCAATATCATCGATATTGTTGGCCTGTTGGTTGTTACCTTCATTATCATCATCATCATCATCATCATCTTCTTCTTCTTCTTCGTCTCCTTCATCTTCTGTTAGTCGTGTTCCAGGTAAAATGAAATTGACTTTTTTAATTAAGTGGCCACCATCAACGCAAGCAGCAGCAACTGCTGAGGTAGCCAAGCATGAAGAGGTTGATAAATCATAGTGCAGTGGCTTAGTATTAGTTATGGTGGTATTGATAGCGGTGGTAGCGATAGTTTTTACTTTAAAACTTTTACTTATATTAATGGAATTAAGTTTTGGTGTTTGTTGCAGTTGATTTTCAACATTATTACTTACATTATTATAGACAGAGTATGTTGCTGCTGAATTAGATTTATTTTCTGTAATGGTTGTTTTATATAAGTTTTTATTTGAAACTAATAAGGCTGCTGTTGTTGTTGTGTTCATAATATTAGCAATATCATGCTCTTTAGCGGACTCTTCTTCGCTTACTAATGTTTCGTCTGATGTAGAAGACGATTTCTTGCTAATATTAACTCTTGTGTTTGAGCAGTTCGAGCGATTAAATTGTTTGTTACTGAAAAATAAATGTGAAGATAATAATGGTGTTGCTGTTGTTATCGTCGGTGACTGCATGGAAGCTAAAGGCAATGGTTTTAATTTTAATTTACGTTGCTGTTTCATTATAGTTTTAATAGTTGAACAAGATGATTTATTTTGTTTGCTGAAAAATTCAGATTTTTTATCGGAATCATCAAAAGTTGCGGGTGGCTGCATTCCATTAAATTTAAGGAACAGGACAAGGGAAAAGGTATTAAAATTTTGAATTGTTAAAAATTTTACGAAAAATTGCTCTCTTCTTAAATTTTAACTTTAAAATAAAAATCATTAGAAATTTTTCTATAAGCGCTGACCTAAAAACCATTTTCAATTCAATAGTGAATATATATATAAGGCAAAAAAAAAATATATATATTTATATATATATATATATATTCAGATAACTGTTTCTAACCCTTTCTCACTTACCATATCATCCAATAAGTTTTGTGGTAGTGATTGTTGTTGCTGACCTGTAGACAAAAAATCGTAATTTCCACTAGCAGCTCCGGAATTTAATTGTTCTGCAGTCAAATAATAGCTAGGTTGATGTTGCTCATAATGAGATGTAGTAGCCACAGATCCAGCATATTGATTTTGATGTATATCTTGCGGCCCGATGATGAGAGGCATTGACGTAGAATCCAGGCCACTCGTGGCAGAATTATCGTAAGTAGGAATCGATGAATTCAAGTTTAAATCGTTAGTATTTGTTGTGGCAGGAAATTCTGTTTGTTGTTGTGGTGTCGTCATAGTGTTAGCTAATAAATGATCCGGTTCCTTCCGTGGTTGTTGGGCTTGTTGCGATTGATCTGAATTATAGTAGACTGTATCGTTATTTATCGCAGGTGAGGCTTGCTGCTCAGTTTGATTATGATGACGATGTTGTTCATATTGCAAATTCAATTCACTGAATTGTTTATTAATTTCCATAAACTGTTGATCAATTTGCTGTTGTTGTTGCTGTTGCTGTTGCTGTTGGTGTTGATAATTGTAAGCATTATTTTCCGAACTTTGCGCCATATTATTATCATTGTTCGCCTGAAAAGTAAAATTTATAAAATGACTTTCATTGCAAATGATTTTCATATACGATTGTATAATGCAATCATGGTCTAATCTGGTCTGGTCTGGTCTGGCTTGGTGTGATCAATTAAATGTACAAAAAATTTATTACAATAATTACCTTATTTTGTTGGGTTAGTTCCCTTAAAGTTTGCAACCATTTCTTTTCTTCCATTTGTTGAAAATTAGTGTTCAAATTGTCCCTATCATCGTGTGACTGTAACATTTGTTGATGTGCGTTATGATCATCTAGAGGTTTCTCCAAAACCGGATCATGAAATTTTAATCGATCAGCTAGTTCATAAACCTATTAAAATAATTAAAAAGTATCGTACTTTTTTAAGAATAATTTAGAATAAAAGGTATACTTTTTTTTTTTACCTTTTTAATAAAACTATTTTCATATTTCGTCGGGTCTCGGCTAATATGTAAAGCAATCTGTTCTAAATACATTAAACTTCTCAAATGGTAACCATAATCCAATAAACGCGTAGCTAACAGAAATTTATACGGCTATGTATGAATAGAAGAATATGAAAATAAAAGAAAAAGTAAAGGAAGGGAATTATCTCTTTTTCTTTAAAAGATCTCTCTTACCTGAAATTCTATTAAAGAGAATTTTTCATCATTTAATGAACAGGCGTATTCGTAAATTTCAGTCATTATGATCGCTTCGTTATGAGCAAATTCGTTAAATTGCTTATAGTGCGACGAGCCCAACAGAACCAATCTACAAGAAACGATTAAAAAATATATGCGAAATGCTTAGATAACAAAGTTTGAAAAAGTTGCTATTCACATACCTGGGTAAATGTTGTTGTAGCGCAGTCTCCATTATGGCAGTACATTGGTAACGGCCAAAACCCACCTGAGCCATTAGGTAACAAAAATGTGCAGCGTAGAGATCTCCGCGATTGAATAGTGAATCCCCCAATGTGGTAATCGCTCTACGATCAAGTTCTGGTTTCTGAGATGTATTGGATAAAATCATCGATAAATGTGGACGCCAGTCACCCCATTTTTGATCCTGCAGACAAGTAACACTGGACGGTATTCGCCCGCTCATCAGTTGATAAAGCGTCTGTAAAGGATCGTTTAGCGATAATTTATTAGCGAATTTCATCATAACATTGGCATGTGTGCGACGATCAAGCTTAGAAGCCAAAAAGAGAGCATGCCCCCATAAATTATTATCGGTAGCCCATTCTAAGGCCTCGTTAACGTTGCCGTAGAGCAGATATTGTCGAAATTTATCAGTGACGTCTGCGTCATTTAAAAGACTGCAAGAACTCTCCGCCGATTTTTCTTCTACGCCCGTTACTAGGACCGGATTTTCCGGGATAGGTAAATCTGTTCCCTTATTCAAAGGTAGCTCCTTATCATCCAAAATATCATCAGTGCTGTGCAAATCTTCTGACGTATTAGAACCCGATTTTGAAGTGTTATTACTCTCGAATGCTAGCAACAAGGACTCATATGGAAACTGCTGTTGATTTTTCAATAATAGTTCCGCAATATCAGTGCCAACTACCATCTGTAAGATAATTTTAATGAAGGCATATCCAAAAACAAAAAGTGTATATTAATCGAAACACTTTTAATTATGCATTATTTAATTTAATTTACCCCGTTTTGTCTTAGCAACAATATCAAGAGATTCCACATTAAAGTATATGAAGCCTTGTATCTTTCATTGTTATTTACTATTAGTTGCTTAGCATAAATAGTAGTGTCCAAGGGGCCCAAATGTATTTGCTCTTCACAAAATTCTATAATTGTCTTTTTGTGAGTTAAACCTCGAACCAATGGTCCGGGGAAGACACGGAACAGTTTTCTCGTCTCGTCATTGGGTTTGCAGCGTAACAGATTTACAACATTATTAACATTACCATTGGGTGCATATTTTGGCTTCAATGTTACCAATATTCCAGAAGCAAAATTAATCACTGCATGTTCGTTGAGGAACTTCAATGGCGTCAAACGCTGCGGCTCCGTGGTAAGAGTATCGATATCATGTATTGACATAGGACCAGTTCTGGAGATTTTTTTTTTTTTTTTTATTATTATTTATTTATTTATTTATTTTTATTTATTTTTTTTTTTTTTTGTGGTTATTAGCGCGGGCGGGAGGGAGGAGGAAAAAGAAATTTTAAATTAATTGCTTCATTAAAAAAGATGATAAGAATTTTGCTTACAAAGTAATTGTGAAAGTTTAGGTACATGCGAGTTTCTAGTTTTTTAAACTTAAAGAAAACATGCCTTTGAAAATTTTTCTTTCATAAAATTAAGAGAAATATATTTCATAATTGAATTTAATAGTAAGTAAAATAATTGGCGTGCAACTGATGAAGTAAAAGTGAACGGAAATAATGAAAAGGAGAAATTAAGAAGAAAAAAAATTATATAAGAAATGAAGTGAATTAAATGATTTGTGACTAGATGGAGAATTTTGGCACATTCGAATTCCACGGCAAATGTTAAACCTCTAAAAGTATTTGCAAGAATGCCTATCAACCCTCGGACAATCAATAATACATGTTATTAGTTATAGTTGAAAAAAACAAAAAAACCTTAAGTTCTTGGAAGAATAGAGTTAATTAAAATCCGGCCCACTACGAAAACTTTGTATTGTATTTAAAAAAAAAAAACATTTTCTTCAATTAATTTGGAGAAATTTACTTTGGTTATTTTTCTGTGAAAACTAAAACAACAGATCAGATTCAAATTTTCAAAAAAGTAGACGAACAGTTCGGTTTTTTACATCTTGATCGATTAAAAATTAGTGGCATCACTTTTTAGATACCGATTTTATACACGTAGATGTAGGAAATTAAAGTCTACCAAATAATACTTGCATTTATATGTATACATTGAAACTGTAGAAAAAATTGAAAAAAAAAAAAAAAAAAATATATATATATATATATATATATATATATATATATATATTATAAAATGTGACATGAAATGCAATAGATGCAATGAATCAATCGAATTGAAAATTATGCAAAATTGCATGAAAAACTCAAATTCATAATTCGATTAATTTCAAGACATCTATTTCGTTTCGTTTCGTTTCATAAGCGATTCACGGATAATAAATAAATTAACAAAAACAAAAATACATAACACAATTTCGTTATACTTTTGAATATTATAAGTGAAAAATTTAAACCTTATTTATAACTGATTAAAAATACATCCGGCCTGTGAAGGAGAGTTTTCAAATCAAATTTAGACACATTTTTTTTTTTTAAATTGCCGAACACACAAAGCCAAATTTTTTCCTTAACCAGGCTCTGCCACATACTACAATATTTACGAACCGAAAGCAATTATTTGCTCTCACTTGTTGCTTTAAAGGATTACAGTATAGTATAATACAGTACAGTATAGTACAGTGCAGTGCAATACAGGTGCGAATAGCTGCCATTTATTATATGTTATAGAGGCTATCGTAAACTGGGCTTGGAGACAAAAGGAGAACGAAAGCTAATACAACTAACGATATTTATAATTGTGCAAAACATTGGTAATTAATTGGTATTTATTGAGAAGATCAAAACATATTTCGACAAAGATTAATGGAAAACCTATTGGATATTGTGTGATCATTGTTTCCTAAATATTCGATTTAAATCGCATCTATACAAAAAATTCAGATTTCAAAAGGGAGGCAAAAACTTGGAAATATGAGTGAAAAAGGAATTAAGCATTTTTTATGGGCTATTCGGAAAGATGCGCTCCAAGTATTACTCTAGATACCTACGTCATATCATCTTTCTATTCAATATTTTTCATAGAAGCTAATATCCTCTCTTATTCAACGTAATCTACACTCTCGTTGGGGTAGCGATAACCACGAACGCATTATGAACGTGAAACGCTTTGACAAACATTCTTTAAGAATTGAGTTACATTATAGCGAGGAGAAAGGAAAGGAAGGAGGCAAGTTAACTTTATCTTTACATTTACATTATTATCGACCCGATCGATAATTGGCTTTCCCAGCATATTTATGTATAATAAAATATATTAACGAATGTATATATTGTCTATTTTTGAAAAGATGCTTTCGAAAAGATGCTTGGGGGAAATCGGCCTTCTTTAATTCTTCATTAAAATACCGAATGCATAGATAAGACAGGGACGACTACATCAATCACACACAATCATTGAATTTACCATAGAATAGAATAACCATAGAATTTTAAATAACTTGTTTAGGAAATTATCAAAAAAAAAAAAAAACGTCTAAAACTATATTAATACCACACAGATAAAAATAACTAAGAGAGCAGAGATAACTAAAAAAAAAAAAATTTTCATAGAATTTTCATAGAATTTTTTTTTTTTTTTTTTTGTTTGTAATTAGCACCTTGTTGAATCAGCGTAATCGGAACGTGCGTAGTAACTGCCGCCAGTGACTGTTGCTGGTATGATGCTGGTCGACAAGTTTGCATAATAAGCGCCATGGATTTGCGATAGATTACTGTGAGAATTTGCCGAACTTAAGCGACCGCCACCAATATTACCAACGCTGACACCGGTGGCCGGTTTGACGCTGCCAGCATAAAAATCACAATTTTGATTGAGAGAATCGTCGTCCGTAAACATAGTAGAGTTTAAGGAGTGATTAAATGCCATTTGTTGTTGCCGCTGCTGCTGCCGACGGTGATAATGACGCTGATATTCATTCGATTGTGTTATGTATGCATGCGTATACCTGAGAAAAATTCGTTGATGATGATGAAGGATGTGGCATTGAGATTATTTTAAATAATTGTTTGTGGTTTTTTTTTTTTTCGGTTGTTGTTGTTTGTTGTTGTTTGTTGTTGTTGTTGTTGTTGTTGATAGTGTAAAATAAAAGCAAAAGCACATAAAGGATCAAAAGGTTATTATTTTATGATTTGATTTGTTCGTTTGTTTTGAATCTAAATTAATTACTCATATACATACGCACGCAAATGTATATATACATTAACATAAAGACACATACACGAATATTGAGAAAATGATTAATACAATATATGTGACAAGAATAATAGTTATATGTAGTATTCGGCTAAAAAGAGTAGTCATTATTCGTTTGTATGCAATTGTAATTTCATTTGGATGTGTATATGTGCTGTCTGTTTTCACGTTAACTGTTTCTAAAGGGGTCAGAATGTTGCGGTGTTGCGGTGGCCGCTGTTTGCTTCCTTTTCCATTTAATAATCAATTTTGTGTTTTTTTGCGATAAATGAATGAGTGAGCTGTTATTTTATTTATTTTTTTTTTTTTTTTTCTTTTTTGAAATACTCAAAGTAAATGAAGCAAGTAGTAAATAAAAGCAAAAAAAAATAATAGCAGAAAAGAACAAGCAAAAATATCGTATTGCCGATTAAATAAACAGCGCAACTATATAACTTAAGCAATTATATGTAAATCTTCAATCCAGAATAGTACTGTATGCAAGTATGCAAGTCAAATAAGTCTATGGGACGAAGTTCGAATTAATTCATAGAAAATAATTATGTACTAAGCTACACAGTCGAGATAATAAATTTAGTTGTTAAACAATGCTACAGAAATCGATCCATAGACAGAATTGGACTTGTCTTATTCAAAAAAAAAAAAGAACTAATAAGCATTGTTCTATAGAAAGTAGATATATCGAGTCGTATTTGTTTTTCGCAATCTTATGGCATTTTTGCCATACAGAAGACTTTGAATTGAAATCGAGTTATAAATCCGTCTTCAGAGTATAGTAGCCCATGGGAATCTGTAATAACTCTTCAAAAGACAATTCGAAAACCGAGCCACCCTATAAGATTTCGAATTAGATAAGAATTTTTTTTGCGAGATTAAAACTTAAAACCGTTACAAACAAAAACGAATAAACAAATAAAATATAAAAATGGATATATATATATATATATATATATATATATAAATTTACATATATACACATACATATATATATATATATACGCAATAAAATTACTAACAAAAAATTAACGTTAAAAAGCGAAAAATGAAAGAGTAGTAATTTCTCTACCATCTAAATTTTCTTAAGGTTGTTTTCAGGCTAATTAATAAAAATTTTCGAAATATGGAAAATATTTGACTTACCTGTCACGTTGTCCATTATGAGCTGAACTACGTCCCGAGTGTACCGATTCACGACCATCGGTGCCGGCCGTTGTTCGTGTGGCTTCAACAGCCGAATTAGCGTTCGATGATTGATCGCCGGTTAAAATATTTGGCATCATGACAGTTGCCGTGGTATGACCATAATACTTTTTGTACCACTCGGCATAGGCCTGAGGATTGGTGCGAGCCATCTGCCCATAGAAATACGCCGCATAGGGATCATAAGCTGTCGTAGGATAACCAGTATACATTGCGCCTGGCATGTGACGGGAATCGTGATGCACACGTGCTGAGCGCGGGCCATCTTTGTCAACATCACTTTCACGCGTATTGCGAGAACTATGCTTTCGGTACTCTTCATAGTCACGAAGATCATATCTTGGATCTTCACGATAACGACCGTCACGTGGTCTATCGCTTCGTCCTCCACGACGTCGTTCAATTGTATTAGTCTCATAATCATCAGTTGCCAATCCAACTCCATCCCTCACAGCACGTCTTCGTTCACTAATCCGACCATCGTCGCCTCGTTTCGAACTCCGAAAAGAGCGTCCGCGATTATATTCATTATATTCACCACCTTGATCACTACGATCGCTTCGTCGAGCACGTTCTCGTTCGCTGTCTGGATACCGTATACTACGTCGCGATAAATCTTTACGACTATCGAAACGCAATGATTCTTCTGTTTCATACTTGGTCCCAATTTCAAAGCGTTCCTGATTACTATAACGTTGAGATCGTTTTTCATATTTTCCAGTGAGCTCTTTGCGTTCCCGATCACGTTCAATACGTTCGCGCTCACGCTCACGTTCCTGGTAATAGTGCTTATCACGTTTATCACCATTAACTCGCTGACGCCGAATAAAAGGTTTATCTTCATCAGCACCACCGGTGCCACGATCGCTACGAGTACTACTTTCACGATAGTGACGGTGGCGTTCCATTTCCCTCTCATGCTCCCTTTCACTGGAGTATTCTTCCCCTTCTGAATAGGCCTCTTCGTCACTTTCGTAACGATCTATCGAACGTCGCTTAGTAGTACGACGAGAATTCACGCGTTCTACGTCATATTTGGAACGTGTTTTCGCTGCAATTGCTGTGCCGGTGCTATGTGACCTTTCGTTCAGTAATCGTTCATCACTTTCCTCATCATCATTGGGTGACGAATTAGATAGTAGATCTTTACCTTTATTAAGAAGCTGCGTTGGTGACTGCAGTACATCTTCTACAGTATTTAAAGCATAATTATTGTTGATTAGTGTTGTTGGATTAGATGGCTCTACATTGTCAGCAGCGCCTTCAACAGGTGGCTGGTTACGTGACTCAGCAGGTAGTTGCTGTTGTTGTTGTTGTTGCTGGTCTTCCAAGTTTTCGCCATCCAATTCTATTTCCCGTTGCTCAGCTATTTCTACTCCAGTGACAACACGTTGGTCATTATTCGCCTGACTTTCGCCTGGCACAAAATACAAATTACGATCTGATGCATTGGTTGCAACATTTGAATTGGTGCAAATAGTCACTGCACTATCCAAAGTACCTATTGCATTGTTTTCCGTATCAGTATCTTCACCATCAGCTTGTCGTTCTTCCAAATGCATAACTGTTGTTGTATTGTTAAGAGCTGGTGTTTCGGTACCAGTAACCAAACGCTCATTAGCTTCTAATTCCGGTTCTCCTAAAACTAAACGTGACAGGCCCGGTGGAGGCATTAAGCCATCAGTTTCAAATTGCTGTTCTTCCTCCGCATGAGTGGTGGTGTTTTCTGATAAGTGACTGGTTTTTAAATATTGATTACGTTCATCGTTGAGAGGCTGCGGGGGATAGGCAGACAGTGCGACGCTATGAAGCACGTTTTGTGGTTGAGGTAAGACCTCCTGATTTTCTTGCGAAGGTAACTCGTTATTTTCCGGTTCCATTGCATTAACATTACCCGTAGATGGATTAGCGAAATCGGCCGGCGGTGGAGGAGCAGTCATATTAAAAAGTTGATTATTTGCTGCTACAGGCGGCAAAAAACCAGCAGCTCGATGGTGTTGAGGCAATCCCGTTCGCTTGAAAGGATTACCACTAGTAGACGGGATCTTAATTAATGGAGGCGTTCCGTTAGATGAAGAGGGTGGCGAAGCGCCTACCGTGTGAATGGGTATTTCTTCAGGATTCTGAAATCCTTGCGGTGGCATTATAGTATTTTCTTCCATTCCAGCTGAAGCCTTTCCAGTTAAGGGCGAAGCAGCATACTGACGTATAGGTAAGGTAACCGGTTTTGCTTGAGACATAAACACACTATTTGGAATGTTGTTAAGAGTTGACGATGTAGGAGAAGTTAGCATCGCACTGGTATTGTAATTATGATTCTCTGTCGAAAATTCTGATGGTGGCGGTGGAGGCGTTGCAAGGCTAGGTAAGACTACATGACTAAGCTCAGTTGCTAAGGCCGTTGTCTGGTGTTGCTGTTGTTCATTTTCCACTGTACTCCAGTTCCAATTGTCACTCTTCTGTTTGTTATTTATTCCTACATTTTTAGAAGATCGTTCTGCCAAGGTAGACCAATTCCAGTTATCATTTTGAGAAGATTGTGGACTAAAACTTTCTGCTATAACATTTATAGTGTTAACATTGGATGGTGGTAGTTGATGTTGTTGATTTGTCGTAGTAGAATTGTCATTAAATTGCTGTTGTTGTCCTAAGGTGTTATTATCGTTCCAGTCACAATCACTCCAACCATCTGATTGATTATTGTTATTGTTCGTAGAATTATCAAAGAAATTTACGGAATTTGCTAACTTTGCTGCATTTACTGTAGCTTCCTGAAAATAATTTCCGCCTTCTTGGTGTCCTCCAATGGTTTTATTATAAATATTTGTTGGCGCCTTTACACAGTGATGTTGAGAAATATTAGTATAATTGGTTGTTGGCGATGGTTGCAGTCTTTGGTGACTCAAGTGTTGTGCTGTTTGTAACGATTGTTGTTGTTGCTGTTGCTCAAACACATTGTTATTCACCAAAGTTGGTTGTTGCTGTTGCCAACCGTTATTGTTATTATTACTATTATTGGAGCTCGGCATAGCAGTTGTAGTTGTAGTTTTGCTTGAAGGCTGCATAACTGCTGTTGAGTCTTTTTTTTAAGAGGTTTTTAATTTACCACTTGATTTGTTAAAAGAAGTAAAAAGAAAGCAATATTTATTTGAATGACTTTAAAAAAAATTTATATACATATATATATTTATATATATTAATATATATGGGCTGAAGGAAAAGCATGGATGCGGCGCCTCCAAAAAGAAAAAAATATAAATTAAACGACAGTTTCTGGAACTACTATATTTCGCCCAATTATTTTTTATGCACGGGTTTCTAAATAAGGGCCTGCACAAAAAAGTATATAAACTGGGTGCCCAATTTGTGGTGAGACTAAGTATCCGTGCAGTCTGAATGGTGGATTTTTTGTGGCTAATGTGTTCTCAAGTAATAGTAAAAAACTAAAATAAAATCATTTGCATCTAAATAATTACTACGCACTAAAATTAACCTATTTCTGCTTATTATATCCACCATTGAAGAATAGGCATATACTAATTTTGGGAATCCCCTTTGCAACACCTAACAGGAGTGTGTCTACGGTAAACATCCTTCTGCACTCAAATATAAGATATAGACTTTAAATTCGGAAAGTATTACAAGTTCTTCCACTAAGACTGGCATTGAAAACGGATCAAGTGAGCCAACAGAAACGTTCACAATACAAAATGAACTGAGAACACCTGTTTTCAAAACGAAAAAGAATTCAAATTTTCCACTCATTGCACAACCATTGCGTTGAGCACTAAAAATTTATCAATCCTACTTTCAGATAAAGGCGGATGCTTATAGGAGATTAAGTCACATTCGTATATAATTTTCTTACTTGCTATATGCCTTACGCATTTTTGTTGTATACGCTGAACACGGCCTATGAAAACGTAACCACCGAAGTAGCTTGTATCTGGATATCAGTTTCAACTGAGAATTTTCATAAAAATAGCATCAAAAAAGTTACTAAACATATAGCAAAAACTTACAGAGCAGAAGTGTAAAAATTAATAAAGTTATACGCAAATTTTAAAATTTCAGTTATCTAATATTAACATATTTCTTTTATTTCCTGATTTATATTATCTAACATATCCATTTACATTAGAAACGTTACATAAAACGAGCCGAACTTCTTGCTTACGAAAATATAATAACCCAGATAAATGAAAAGAAGAAGAGAAAGCAAGAAATTTGTTACTTGTTATCCTGAACCGACGTTGTTGGTGATGGGCACAGCGATAACAATTGTGGCAGAGGTGATTATGATTATGATGCATAAATTAAGGATAATTTTGATAGTTTCTGAAAAAGGTAAGTCCGCTACTCAATGACTGTGATAATAAATGAATTCTCTTCTGCTGCATTAGCGGATTGTGTCAAACTGGTCAGTTTACTTTGTCGACGTAGCTGATTTGTTTCTTACTGCTTGTGTTATGCTATATATAATTTAGGTTCATACACCAATTTGTTAATCGGGAAAAGCAATTAATATTTACAGAAAAATGAAAAAATTCAACAACGATTGATAAGCATCTCCATATCAATGGGAAATTTCGAGTATAAAGAATGTTTGTCAATCAAATGACAAGCAGGTTTTCAATAAAACCTATTGAGTAAACTTTTATATCTCTGGTTGCACTCACACGTAGGAATATAAAATTCTCTCTATTGTTTCTGCCAATTTTTTTGTTTAGTTGTTAAACATATGTTAGTTTTTCACTTTTTTGGTAATTTGTGAACGAGTAACATAAGAGGGGGGAAGCATACTTTACATTCACATGAAACTAACTGGTTGGTTTTTATAAAAATTATGCAAAAAGCAATAAAAAGTTTACGTGGACTTTTTCTTTTCACCTAACGCACCTACACATGCATTAAAACTTTTTATATGTGTGAAGTACGTTGGCAATTAATATATTTACCTTTACTTATTCTTCGTTATGTATCACTTTTTCTATGATTTTTGTAAATTTTTCTAATTTATTTATTGAGTTTTACATTCTTAACCACTCCTTCAATCATTTGTTGCAATGTTTCAAGTTTTCGATTAATTTTCAAGCAATTAAAAATCTTTTGCGACCCAGGAACCAGATTAAACACGAACGAAAAATGAAAAGCAAAATATGTCAAACTTATTCTTTGACAAACACAGAGTTGTTACAAATGAGAAACGAAATAGGTAAAATTCGTAAACATCGCAAAAATTAATATGTATTTAATATATTGTATATATATATATAGCCTCCACACACTGTAGTGTTAATGACTTCTAACTGCAACTAAATCGTCAATCAATAACACCACGGAATTGCAATTGAGACACATCGACAAAAACAGAGACGTTATAAAAAACTTAAATTTGTCGCAGAAAATAAAATGGTAAAAAAATTAATTCAGACAAAATTTCTTTAACCAAAATAATTTCGTTAAACGACTTTCGTTAAAAGTCGTTTAATACCCTAAAAACAGCTTTTCCACAAAAACGTCTTTCTGCGAAAATGGTTTTTGTTTTAATATTTTTGCATAATCTTTCCTTATATTTTCACTCGCTAAATTTGCACCAAACTGTACTTTACATGGATTTTTTTCAATTTCCACAAAAAATGTTATTTGAAAGCATATTTTTTTCAGGGAATAGTCGATAATATAACAAAATTCCTTAGCACTATAGAATTTTTTTCTGCACTCTATTTTTTTTTTTCTTTTAACAGGTCAATTTAATATGCAGCAGGGTTGCCAGCATATTTTTGAGCTCTTCTTTTTTATGTTTTAGTACAATTGAACTGTCCTCTTCTAACCAAGTGTCACTTTATTTTTGACTTTTAGCTGACGTGTTGGTGTTAATTCGACCAAAAGCAAATTATTGAAATCTTAGGGATTTTTAGCTGGTTCTATAAAAATCTTTACACGTATTTTCCAAGATAAAAGCTAAAAATTAACAAAGTTAAATATTGCGATAATTCAGTTTATGGAACATTAGAAATAACAACGGAGAAATTGAAAATCATACAAAGTAATAGCCATGGCCTTGCTAACAATGATAGCCCGAGTCATTGATGGTTTGCCTCTAGTGGGCACTATGCAAGACGACGAACAGGTACATATCCATAAACATGCGCTGATAATATTGAAGTGTATTTAAAAAGAAAATGCTTCCGTATAACAATTTTCAGACGGGGCGTAGCATAATTGAATATCAAAATCAAGCCAAAATGTTGTTTCGAAAATTGAGTTCACATTCGCCGGCACGGTGCAGCATTGAAACTGGTCCTTATCTATTTCAGTCGGTCAACATTAATATATTAGTAAATTATAAATTTTAACAACTGGAATTTTTACAGCTATTTGATCGAAAATGATGTTTGCTATCTGGTTATGTGTGATAAAATGTATTCTAAGCGATTGGCATTCAATTTCTTAGAAGATTTAGCTCAAGAGTTTCATGCAAATTATGGACGTAAAGTGAATTCCGTAACAAGACCATACGCTTTCATAGAGTTCGATGTTTATATACAAAAAGCCAAAAAACAGTTAACAGACCGTAGACGTAATATCAATACCATCAACACACAACTGCAGGATGTGCAACGTATAATGGTAAGCGAACGGCACAGAACTTTTAAGCGTGCATTTTTTCAAAACCGCACTCATTTCATTTCTTAGGTACAAAATATCGATGACGTTCTACAACGTGGTACGGTCTTATCTGAATTAGATACAAAGACACAAAACCTTTCCATGATGTCACAGAAATATAAGAAAGATGCTACCTATTTAAATCGTAAATCAATGTATGTGAAAGCAGCTGCTGCTGGTCTTATTTTATTTATAATTGTACTATATTTCTGGGTTTTGTAATAACAACTGCACTAATATACATAATTAATACTTAATACGATAACAAAGGGAAAAAGTTATGAGAGCTGCTAAGTGTATATGTAGCAGATAATTTATTATTAATTTTTAAGTTTTATTTTTGATTTTTTTTTCTAAAAGTTTTCTAGAAAGTGGGTGTGAAATGTCGGAATTTCCTTTAGGTTAATAAAAACTAAACATATTAAATAAAAAGACTTTTTTACTCTAACACACAAATCTCTGCTAACCTGATTTCACTTGCTTTTAATCCTCTTCACAGTCGGTAGATGAAGATAAAGCTTCCATTAGTTTTTCATCAGTAAATAGGTAATTGTTGGATGTCTTTTCATAAATTTCGAGCTTACGAAAACGTTCCTTTTTACGTGTTTGCTTTTTCTCTTTTTCTGAAACAATGTCATGAGCTGGGTTGGAATCTTCCATGTTTGTTTCTTGTTCTTCATGCAATGAAGACTTCCACATTTTTTGTAGATTTAAACGATGTTGCTTAGTTTCTTCTTCAATGTCATCATCTGAAAAAAGAAAATTTGTAAGAAAAATCAAACAAATGTATTTTGAAAGTTTCGATCCTACCACTGTCAATGATATCTAAACCTTCAGGCAATTCTTCGTAACTAATATAAACTAAAGGATACTCCACAATAGTTCTTTTCGCCAAATTCGCCTTTAAGGTTTGATTAACATTCAGTAAATAATAACGATTACGACTGCGTTTAACTTCTTCAGCTTTTAACATAACCTTCAGTGTTATACAATTAATTTATTTAATTTAAAATTCTATACCTTCTAAAGTGAGATTTTACCTTAATGTTTTGCATTCCCTTACTTTGATAATATTCTAAAATCCTTTTCTCGGGCACTAGTTCTAAGCAGTTAGGATTTACGTATTTATCTAATAGTTCCCATAGATATTTTTCCTCATCACAACGTTCATCAATGTAACATACGATTTTACCGTTTTCATTGGCATTAATAAAAATCCATTTTATTCGCCAAAAAATTTTTTTCTCCTTATAGCAGTAGTAAGTGGTGTTTTCACGATGCCTTAAAAAATTTTGAAGTAAGTATTTTAAATTCGTGGTTCTTCGTCGTGCAGCTTGACGCAAGCGGTTCAAGTGTATAGGCAAATCACGGTTATAAGTAGTATAACGTTTAATAATATCTGTTTTACGATTCTGTGCGTAACGAGTGCATTCTTCCAGAAAGTAATAATCGCTCATAAAATCCAGTTTCGTCATTTGTTTGAGAGCTACAAATTTAGTTCGATCACGTATGCCATTACAAGATAACTCTTTTTTGTGTATTGTAACGCAATTTAGGGAACAAGTTTTCACTTCACATTTAGGGCAAGTATAACGACTCGGCAAGGCAGAGCAAACTTCACACATGCCCAAACGTGAAGGTAAGCTACGAATACAAATTCATACAGTTATTAAGAACTTTGAAATAATAATTGTACATGTACTTGTTTCTCCCTTCATTAGCATTAGTCATTGCTTCATTAATTCCTCCAGGCTTCAGTAATTCTGCTTGGTTACACAAGTCCATTGGGATGTTTTCTGTTAACTATTTACTTGATTCAGTGTTCACAATTTACAGGTTAATAAATTTTATTGTAAAGCAGAATGACAACAAAACAAATGTCAAAAACTACTGAGTGGTTCTAATGAGAATAAAATGAAAAGTCAAACATCTGAACCTTTTTTTTAGTTATAAAGTTAAATGTGTAGTTTAGGACAAATAAAATTTGCATAATGTTTATTCCATTTATATTATATAATTAAAATATTAAAATCACAATTCATGAAAAATTTTTTATTTTAATGAATGCTGGCGTCACTAGAAGTGAGTTATTTGAATTGCAATTTAATTTCAATATTTTTATTATATATAGACATTTTTTTTTTTTTGTACAATGAAATTTAGATGTTTTTTTTAAAAACATTTTTATGAAAAACTTGGCTCTAACAAATAATAAAGGAAGAAAAAACAAAATATAATATCAAACAGTGTGGTCTGTTTGCGTAAATCTTTGCCTTTTTATTGATTGGGGAGCAAAAATATTATGGTTATTGTAATAAATTACTTGCACTAACAGTTAATTTATTTTTTAAAATGGATATGTTGGACAGGTAAAAACAATCTTAAAGTAAGTCTTTTCTGCTTTAGCTGCATTTACTTCGATTGATTAATTTCTAATGTATACAGAATGTGATCAAGTAAGCGTTTATTTAATTATTAAAACAACCACAGTACTAAAGAAAATAATGTAGACAAAAAATCCGCCCGGGAAATGCTCTTGTTCTAATATGCAAATGTGGTAAACATTTACCTTGCACTGAAGAACAGTATTTCTTTTCGCAATTTCTTATCAATAATAATGAGAGTAACGACCTTTTCGATTAAGATGTTGGAAAAAATCTCGCGTTAAAATTTAAACAAGAATCCTCAGTAATGGTTTATTCTCTTTCCAGGTACGCTTTACTCTCTCTTTTCCTGGTTTGGAGATAGGTTTAATGCTAAAACGACATTTAAAAATAAAAGAAAACTTAGCAAATATGTTCTCACTATATGTACGTAGAGTAGTTTACGGTGGACATGAGTTTTCGCCGTTGTTAACGTTGCAATATCAACGTGGCTATAGCCCTCGTAAGCTGTTTAAAATGTTAAATATATATTTTCTGTATCATCCACGTCAATTAAAAATGTTTCAAACTTTTGAAGAATGTGTTTTTCAATCAACGCAAAAGCGACCATGCTCCACATTAATAGAAAAAAGTAATAAGCAAATAATTTTACAAAGAACGCCTAATAAGTATAAAAGCAACGAACAGAAATACGTTCAATATACCGAAGACCAAAAATATGGGGTATAATTATAAAATTAACATTGATGAATATATATTATCAAAATATATTATTTGTTCTGTCAGGAGGCAATAGAGACTTTGAACGCTTTGCAGACGAACGCTGAGGCCTTGCGTTTATCTATGAAACACAACATTAATCATTTGGAAGATACCCACAAATATTTGTTGCGAAGTGGGCTAACATTGTTCGATCTGAAAGAGCTCTCCTATATTCATGTATCGGGAACTAAAGGAAAGGTAAGAAAGTGTTTAAGACTCTTGAACACTTCAAAAATATTCTAAATCTTAGTATTGAATATTATTGTGTCGAATTTTGTATGTTACATTACGGAAGGGATCACTTGTTTCATTTGCTGTGTTTCTTTATTTATATTTTGAGTAAATTTTTTCGTTTTACTCAATTCACATATTAAGAACACAAACGAAACCTATAAAAGCAGTTTATAATACGCAGTATTTACGGTTCGCTTATCAAAATAGTATTGATTCAACGTAATATGGGCACGTCATCATACTCAATATACGTCCATTAACTACAAGATGTTTATGCATATCTAGGATTTTCGTCCCTTACTCCTGAGACTTGTTGCCTTTAATAAAAACTCATTTTTCGGTGTAGCAAAGCATTTTTTTGTAGGCGCCAGTACAACGACTGTATAAGAATATTCAATAAGCTGTTTTTTACAAATTTTATGTTTAGGGTTCTACTTGCGCTCTCACCGAGTCTATTTTATATGCTTACGGCCTTAAAACGGGTTTTTATAGTTCACCGCACTTGGTATCCGTGACCGAAAGGATACGAGTTAATGGTGAACCGATATCAAAAGAGAAATTTACTCGATATTTTTGGAAGATCTACGATAAACTGCAAGATGCCCAGGATTATGAACATGACATGCCTGGTTATTTTAAATTCTTAACTATATTGGCATTTCACGTGTTCCTAGAAGAGAGGGTAGATGTAGTTATTTTAGAAGTGGGTATTGGCGGCGAATTAGATTGTACTAATATTGTACCGAATACAAAGACTGTGGGCATAACTTCGCTTGGCTTGGAGCACACAAATCTATTAGGCGAAACATTGAATGAAATTGCATGGCAAAAAGCAGGTATTATAAAACCAGGCTCAATGGTATATACCACGGTAGCTCAAGAAGACTGCATAAGAATAATACGTGACAGATGCAAAGAGAAAGGTGGTGCTGATCTTCATAAAGTACCGGACTTTGAATTATATTTTCAAGATGAGAAAGATCGTGAGTTAAAAAAGTCATTGAATCATGTCATTTTATTAAATGGCTCCCTGGCCATACAACTGGCTTATGATTGGTTGAGGCAAAATCGTAAAGATATGACTGAGAGGAAAGAAATTAATAAGGCATACTTGACGAAGCAAGTGGTGGAGGGTTTGATAAATTGCCATTGGCCGGGAAGATGTCAAATGATTAAATATTTAAATTTAAAGTAAGTTTTGCATTATTTAAATAATAACAAGAAGAACCATTTAGTTTATGTTCTTATCCTTCAGCATGTATTTGGATGGTGCCCACACCTCGGAAAGCATGAAGATTTGTGGTAGCTGGTTTTCTCAATCTGTCAGTTACTCTGAGAATCCGAAAATATTGATTTTCAATATCACCGGTGATCGCGATTCAACAACACTTTTAAAAATTCTGAAAAGCTTCTCCGTTTTCGATTTAGTTTGCTTTTTACCGAACGTCATTACTAGTGCCACTACTAATACCCCAGACACACAATTAATTCACGCTCATAGAGAACAGTTGGAACGCGCAAAAATGCATGCATGCAACTGGGAACTTTTATGTTTGGAAGATCAGACACCAAATTTTGCTAAGGTATTTCCCTCATTATTGTCGTGCTTTCAGTACATACAAGACGAGTTTGACAAATCTCAGCAATTGGATGTTTTGGTAACAGGATCTCTACATTTATTGGGTGCAACCATATTATCACTAAATAAACTGTATAAAAATATTTAAGAAATTATGTTGAAAAGGAAAAAGAGAGAGTGGACTTACCCAAAAAAACCCTTTGAAGCGAGCTGCGGAAGTCTTAGAAGAGCATATTTTACGCAAATATGAGGCTTTCCGACATTCTCCAACCGTCTGCATCCATACGCTTTTACCACTTTGAGTAACGACTGAAAGTTGATAGCCATAATATTTTCCTAAGTTTGGAATTAAGCATAAACAACCTAACATAACTAATAAATGAAAAACTAAGAGAATCTCGAAAGAAAAAAATTTGTTCGCAGCTTCCCAGCACAACTTTCTTTAAGGGCTTTACACAGGCAAAAGATGTAATTTAGTTTTAAATACATTTTTTTAGAAAACTTATTTGAGCTATGTTCATCGTTATCTATGCATTACTGACGACTAAACAAAAACACAAGGCTTGCGCTACGCGTTGTGCGTTCTTCACGAACTGTCAAAATAAAGTTAATTGTGTATATTTAAACGTAGTCTAATATTTAGCTTGCATTGCGTTTTGCTTTAACGAATATTTGGCAAATTTTTTAAGTTCATGCGTGCGTTGTTTTTAACAAGCAAAATACAACATCCAAACTGACGTGTTTCGAAAAACAAAATGAAATCATATGATTTTATATGCCGTGAAAAACAACTAGAAGGAAGAAAAAATTAAATAAAATTAAATAATAAATTAGAGTAAATAAATTGCATGAACGAACACTACATTTCCTTTTCCAAGCTTAAATGAATACTACGTTTTGTTGCTAAATTATAAGGTGTATGCTATATTTTTTCGCTGTATCATAAATGAATTCTATACTTTATTTTTGCACTGACGTTACTTCCCGATAATTCTATTGCTTTGCATAGGTACCCGCCTAGCTATGGCATCAAATTATGTAAGACAACAGTGATCTTTATTATTTATTATTGCTGAATTGTTCTCGGGATTCACGTAGATGGGGCCTAAAAGCATTCTTCATCATGAGGCCAGTGCACCTAATGCATTATCGATTTTCCTTCTTCTCCTAAGGCGTCATTAGGCTGTTCCATAGAAGCAATGGTATGTCATCCACAAAATAGTACAAAAACTCAGAACTAGTGCCTGTGATGACCTTAGTTTCAGGCAGCTCTAGTCAATTTTGGACTAAATATCTCCCACACTCCGAGTGGCATATTATCTTATTGTCACTTTGGAGCGCTTACTCTTCCATGTCAATCGAAGTAAAAGTGTAGCTCGCAACAGGTTACCTTTGTAGTTATAATATTGTGAATCAGAGTTAGGAGGACGCTTAGCATTAATATTTCTTTTATCTGTAGCATTTACACAGTGTGCAAGATTCCAAACATTTTGGAAATCATCCGTGGTACGCTCCCATTTTGTCTTGTTCGGCAAGGAAAAATAAAACGAAAATAGAACATATTATAAGATCCGAGATGTTTCCCGAAAAACGGATCGCACTGTAGACCGTCGCTTTTTAAAAGGGGGTGTTAAGTATGTGACACTAACTGCATGAGCGAATTATCTGCGAACAATACTAGGGAAGTAGTTTATTAAATTGAATTTATAAAAATGGAAAACTGATAGCAGCGTTAAAAAATAGCCTATATTTGCCATATAAAGAAAAAGATTTTGGTAAAAACTTATCTCCCAAATTCAGAAGAAGGCCAAATACTTCAGGGTTCATGCGAACATGCACTGTAAATTGCTCGACTTGATTACAATACGGACAGTTGAAGGCGGTCACAAGTAACCCATCGACACCTCGATTTCTGTATAAAGATGCTACCCAGAAACTCGTTTCGGATTTTTAAAGTTTGCATCGGTCCATATTATTCTGAATATTGTCTTATAACGATTGGCTATCGACAAAGGTCATGTTCGTCTCATTTCTTTATAGATATGATGTTCACAAATTTCACCAACATACTTTATCCATATTCGCGGATGACACAGCAATTCGAAGCCTGAAATTAATGGCATTGATATACTAGCTTATCTATAAAGAGCACTGGATGAAATATTATCCTACTTTAATAAATAGAAAATACCAATAAGCTACTAAAAAATGAAGGCAACATATTGCAGTAGGAAACATGGGGTTTGCTATATCCCACAGGCCAATATAATGACGAATAATAACACTCGCCAGCGGAGAGCAAAAGTGAAATGTTTCGATGCGTGATTACAATATAAAATTAAAAAGTCTATCCAAGTCGAGTGTATTGATAAGTTGAAACTCCTGAGCAACGAAAAACAATAAAAAACTCTAGTAAAGTCTACGCAGCCCTTAACAATATTGCAGGTAATCCATAATAAACTGTTAAAGCTATTATACAGCCTATCATTTATCTTTGCTATCTCACGGCAGCGAGCTGGTTTTAACAATATGCCATCAGATGCCTTACTTCTGATTTCGTTCATATTAAGGGATTAGCGCTATCGTAGTGCAGTGCAGTCTATTAAATATATTGTCTAAATATATAGAAAATTTTGTGATTGTAAATAAAAATGAAATTTAAGTTATGTAAATAAATGAATAAATGAAATAAACAAATTTATCGTTATATATAGAAACTATAAAATTCAATTTAATTTTTATAAGTTTACTTATATTACATGTTTACGTGTAGCGTACGAATTCCATAAACAATTTCATTCTTGGTATCTTGATTAAAGCTGATGTTAATGCTATAAAAATAATACCATAAATATAATTTGTCGCATGCTATTAATATTACTGATAGTCTCAGTGTCATTAGAAGAATTAAGTTATTTGTTGTTCTTGTGTAACTTTAACTAAAAAGTACATTTGATCAAAAAGTTTGGCATGAATTCTCACGAATTTTTATTTCTTTACGATCAAATCGCACTTTTTGAATTATTTCACTTAAAGCCCAGTTCCCAGGCGGTTTTCTGTATGCATTAACTTGCACGTTTTCCGGTTCATTATTCTCTTCTCTTTCTTCTCTTTTTTCAATGGCCAATTATTAGCGGATTTTAATTGGAAACCACAAAAAGCATATCACCACCTATAAAACCATAAAGAAAAAAAAAAAAAAAACACATGATTAATAAAAAATTGCAATAAATGAAAATTACATTGTAATCGTTTCTAGTATGCGCATAGACTTCAACTGCTTCCGCAGTTTAAATATTGCGAGGAGCAATAAGAAGAATCGAAGTCAAATTAATGTGCAAGGGGGAAATGGTTTTAATAATGATTTTCAATGAAAATTGCAAAGAAAGCAGTGCTCTTTAGAACTAATATTTAAAACTACACAACAGATGTAAGAAAATTAAATTCAATTGGGACCGAATCCGTTAATCTCCCAAAAAAAAGGGCAAATAGGTAAAAAAAAATAGAACTCTTATGCTCTATAATATGGAGTGGGCGCAGTTAGTAATCTTCTATTTTCAAAAGAAATGTTTTTGTCGTAAACGTATGTGGGCGTTGTAGGTTTGTCCTTTGAAAAGTTTACGTCAATTCCAAATTCTTTTGGAAACTTGTAGGCGTTATCTCTATTTTCGCTAACCGGAGAATATTTACCACAAATACTACATAGTTGCACAAACAGACAGATGAACAGGGGAATAGGCGGAAATTTTTAGGCGTATTTCAAATTTCAAATTGGCCAGGAATTTGCATGCTTTATGGGGTTTTTGAAGCTTGTTTTCGCCTGATGTAATGGTATAAGAAAAACAATTAAATTTCGCTACACTATAATATTGGGTAGGCGTGGCGAATATTTTCGATTTTTGTGCGCAAATGCTACAGCGTAGCCAATGGAATATGAGTTCAAAGTTTTGTACATTGATTTGCGGTTGCGTATGAGTATTGAAAAAAAAAAAGACCACTTTGTCATTTCTTTTGAAAAGCAGAGGTGTTCGCAGTTTAACTGATACTGTGGGCGTATTTTTTGACAGATGTGGCCCACCTGCGTGCAAGAACTTTCAATATTTCTCCCAAATTTGAAGTCGAAGAGAAGAATGTTCACAACAAACATTACATAGACGGACAGACGGACAGATGGACATGCTTAAATCGATTTAGAATTTGATGCCAACTTTGTGGGGTCTCTGATGTTTCCCTCTGGGGCGTTGTAATCGTTTTGACAAAATGAATACCCTACACATCCTTCGGTGATGAGTATAAAAATAATGCTTTCTTTTTCTGCTTTTATTTAGTTAGTTTTTTTTTTTTTGTGAAATCATGGATGTATCGAGAGGAAACCGTAGGATATTCAAAAGAAATCGGATGCATTGAAATTGTAATTAATTTACATGTTATACTCGCCTCCGACTTCTCTCTTAGATACGAGTAACATAACTTGCCTTTTGATTGGAATGCTTTTCAGTTGCGATATGAAATCAAAATTACCGGAAAAGCAGCCGAATCAGTCACGTGAGCTATATTAAGGGCGCTTGATAATTTTGCACTCCTAATTACAATCATTGAAAGCGTAGTAAGACGCGTTCATCTTGGACGTTTAGACTAAGTAATAAGTATCTGAAATGCTGCAAATCTCTTGAGATTTGATTCCAGGTATTGGTATTGGTATAGATATTCCTAGGGTATTGGTTTTCGCAAAAAAAAATAAAAAAAATAAAAAAAGGAAAAGATGAACGAAATCACTTGAAAGTTGCGTTTATCGTGGAATGCGTAAATTTCATGAATTATTTACATATTTATTTACGAATATATCATATTTGCTTTATTTGTGTATATCGCTATAAATCCAAAAAAAATAAATAAAGTCTATTACTTAATGACTTTAAAAAAATTAAGTTAAATTATTTAATTTCCTTTTAGCTTTTCGAAGCTTTTTTTTCTTTTTTTTTTATTTATTTTAATTTCTCAATTTAAACAAAAAGCAAAAATTAACAATTAAAGTTTTGTCGTTATGAATTCTAAGATTTCCTGTCTTTTTGAATGGCGTTCACGTAATCGACAATCCAACCTCACTTACAAGCCTCAATAATAATAATAATAAGCAGCTTTTTTTTTGCAATAAAAAAGTAAAGCTTTAAAACAAAACAAACTCAACAACAATGACAGGGAAAAAACTGCAAAAGCGTTAAACGTCTTGAGCGCAGCAAGCAAATAAGGCTTTTAAAATTTAAAAACTAGTCTTGATTTGCTAGGCTACGCACAAACAACACATTAACTCGGTGAAATCAGTAACGCAGATGCTTAGCTTAGCTTTACGTTTACTTTAAGCGTAGCACACAAAATATAAGCAAACAAAACGAAAAAAAATTAAAATTTTTATTGTGGATAAACACACTCTGTAAACACATCTTTGTAAAGTTGTATTGTAGTAAAACAACTTTAGAAAAAAATAAAAACTGATTACACTAAGCGATCAGTGAGTGGTGTTGGTGGTGGTGGTGGTGGTCTTTACGCGGATTGCACTCAGTCCAGTTTTACTTAAACTCTTGCCTTAGCTTAGCTCATCTAAAGCGACGCTATACAGTTGATGGAACGCGATTCTTACTGAATGGATTTTAAAGTGTTTTTGTTTTTGTTTTTTTTTTTTAAATTTTTGTTTTCTTCTTTTCTTTGATCAATGTAGAGAAAAAGCAGCCTTTCATAAAAACATTTACTTTTCAAACAAAAAAAAAAAAAAAATTAAATAAATAAATAAAAAAATAAATAAAAAACATCAAACTCGTAATTATAAAAAGTAATTATTTTTGAAAAGCAAACTCAATAAAATAAAAAAAATAAAAATTATTATTAAATCTTGTTTTTTGAATATCGATTACACTAAACGAGTTACAACGCATAATAAATATTTTATTTGACATTTTGAAGCGGACTCCTTAAACGTAGTTGTGATTGCTTTTGGCAAATATTTTCACAAAATCGCCTGATAGCATAAGGCCAGGATTTTGAAGGATTTTATGTCGTATTACGAGGGAAATAAAAGTGAGTTAAATTTTTATGAAAACAATGAGAAATAATTTGCTTTGTGGCGCATCCTGGATACCCATTACTTAAATTGAACACATTGAACAATCACTAGTATTTTGTGTTATTGCGGATTATTGGCAATGTATTGTTGATTTTCCATACATACCCCTCCAATTGCCCTCGTGACCAAAATATTTAATCACATTAAGATTTGCTATCCGCAGAGATACACCCTACTTGGTAATATCTGGTCTTTTCGGGTCAAAAAATTGCGGCTGACTTTCTTGCATATAATAATAATAATAATAATGAAAAAAACAAATACGAACATATAGCGCGACAAGGTCGGCCATTAAATACCCTACACAACATTGTCTAACACAATTCTCATTTCTATTATAGTACACAAAATAATAATATCTTGTTTCTACATGAAGGCATATCTTTCACGTGCGTATTTAGGGCGAAGCAGATCCAAAACTCCATATTATGTAGTACAAGTTTAATCCTTACATAAGGCAGGATTCAAACGATAGGCCGGGATGGTAAAGATTATTTTTTTTTTTATAATAAATTACTGTTACGATCATGAAGCATTGAAAATTATAACTTTTCGTCGCGTGAACTTCAGTTCAGTTCAGCCGGTCCAAAGTTTTCATACCAATTTAGAATGCCGAAATACTATAATTTTGTCACTTTTACTGAGAAATTTTGAAAATTACAACTGTTTTCCATATAACGATTTTTCAGAGGAGGACGTTATCTACGGAGTGGTCGAAGAAATGGATCGATCCGAACAATAGCGTTCAATAGCGTTCGTCCTTGGGCCAATACACGTCACTGTACTAAATTTAATCAGACCGACAGACGAGGAGACAGACTTAGATCAATTCAGATAATGATTCTGAATCAATCGGTATAATAAAAGGTGGGCTTATCTTCTTATTACATACGACTGCACTAAGTTAATAGATCCTGTGGTGTAGGGTATAAACATTTTCTACACATGTTTGCTAAAAAAAAATTTTTCAACAATTTTGTAGAAGGGGAAAATAACGGCACTCTCACATAAAAAAGTAATTTTTCCTGACATCTTCTTAGCCGCATGTCTACAGGTCGTAATTTTCTCTTTAAGTCTATGAAATATAGTACGCAATGTCATGAAATATTATTCAACATGTGAAGTGAGTTGCGTAGGATTTTTTGAACAATATTCCTTTTAAAGAAATGACATTAATATTAGATAAATTTTTATACCCTACATCCCTTGCAATCCATTTCGAATCATTTTTTGAATTAATTTTTAGGTTGCGCATGTCTCCGTTGTCTGTCCATTTATAATTACATGCAATTATTTGTGTTCTCCAACCATTTTTGTAACCACTCCTTCAATACTTTACGCCTACAATAAAGAATTCTATCATGAAGCTGTAGCTGAACGTCCGTTAAAAGCTCGATTAAAGTTTTAAGTTTTTGAGCATTGGCTTAAGTATTCGAAAAATTAATTCATTTTAAGTTATGTACAGAAATCTGCTCCTTGTAATGTCTTTTCGTTATTCTTCAATATATCAAGAATCATATCAAACGACGATAACATGATGAAAATGAAAATTTCTTAAGATCGCATTATCCGTAAAGCATGGAGGTAAGACTAAAGTCCATGTTAGCGATAGTTGACTTACCCGCGTCGTCCGTTCTTCAGCAGAAATCATAATCGATTTGGAAAGTCGTCTTTAAGATTAAATTACCACAGGTAGGCTTGCATTGTTAAGATTTTACAATTTAAAACTGTAATGGTTCTATTGCTGCTGTCTCTTGGTCGGCACATTTAATTTCTAGGTAGGTTATGTTACAGGTAACAGGAGTAACATACTTCTGCTTAATGTCGCGTACATTCCGCGATATTTTTAATTTTTTTTATTTGTACAGTTTTGTTAATTCATCCAACGAATTTTGATTATCCTTTCTTGCCCGGATATTTGGTCGCCGATTTGGACACAAACCACGTAAGAACATTATAGTTTGGCAAAGCTGACCCTATACCCCATTGTCTATCACAATTCTTATTTTTATTATAAAACATAAAAATTATATTTTGTTTCTATATAAAGGCATACTTTTTCATGCGTGTATTTATGGGGCAGTGGGTTTAATATGCAACCTAATCTAGAACAAGTTTAATTCCTACATAGGGTAGGATCCAAAAATAGGCTTAGCTGGTCCAAATTTGGTACAGATAATTTTTTTATGTTGCATCATTATTATGATATAATTTTCATCGTGAAAAATTGAATGTTATACATTCTTGCCGTATAAGGGAGTTGAAAAATTTCCTAAGCGAGCTCGAAGTCGAGTTCATACGATTTTAGAATCCCGAAATACTAGCACTTAGCCTCATTTGCCACTTTGAAATTTTGAAAATTGTAATTAGTTTGCATATTCTGCAACGATTTTTCAGAATAGGGCGTTATATGGGAAGTGGTTGAAAAAGTAGATCGATCTGAACGATTTTCAATAGCGTTTATCCTTGGGCGAAAATACGTCACTGTATCAAATCAATCCATAAAAATATCTCAAAAATTGCGTCCTATAGCATACATGCAAATGTACATGGACAGACATCATACAGACAGACGGACAGACAGGCTTAGATCAATTCAGATGATCGGTTCTGAATCGATCGGTATAGTACAACTTAAAACCTTCTGCGTGTTACATACGACCGCACTAACTTAATACACTCTGTACCACAAGTGGGATAGGGTATAAGAAATGGTGAATAGCAGAATATTTGATTTAAGACAAATATCTTTTTTGTCGAAGAGTCTTTCAGTTTAAATCGATGTATTCACCCGGTGCTAGTACACCCTGCAGATAACGCCGAATAACGATGAAGACCATGCGAAGAACATGAAAATTAACAAAGCTGAGCAGTATTTGTTACAGGCATAATTCTAGTCCATGTTAAGGACGAAAATGCACTTGAAGATGTAGTTGAAAATATCTCTGACTTTGTGTAGGAGAAACTTGTTTGGTTTGTGGGAATTTTTGGCATTTTCTGTATATAAAAGCAAGGAAGCAATGGAACAGAATAAATCATATATAAATTGGACTCGAGACTTTATTGTGGTAATTTTATCAACAAAATGCTTTATCTTAATATAAGTTATATAATATAGGTTTTGTATTAATAAACTGTTGGCTCTCAACACGTATACAATATTTAATCGTAAGCATTGTCGTTCATTAAAGTTTGAGAGACACTGCTTTAAAGTATGTATATAAATTCTTATGTTCAGCATTAAATCAATCAAAATTTATATAAAAAATGTAAACGGAATATGTACCGAAAATCTAGTTTCCACTTGTTAAGGCAAAATTTTTGGCACAAACTCAAAAACAATCTTAAATATATAATTGAAAATAATTTTTTTTTTTTTTTTTTTTTTTTCTTTCCAAAGAGCTTTAAACGTTTGAAATTCCATTAAAACTAGTTTTTGATTACCTTTTGATCCAAATACTTGTGCTGCATGGACTTTATGTACGAGGCGACTGCACAGAAGAATTTCTATGCGAATGTGAATGTAAAGAAAGAAACTGTATGCATGCAAGCATGCATGTATGCATGTATGTATGTATGCATATATATATATATATATAAATTGTTTTGTTAAAAAAGATAGGCAGACATTGTTCCGTTAAAACTATCTAAATTATGCATAGACGATATCAGCATTTGCGTGAGTAAGTGAGCGTATGACTGCTCAAAATCGATAGCAACTTGTTAGTATAAGATGAACAACACAGACGAACAGGTTTTTTAGCATTTTTACTCAAACAGAAGACATCGGTATTCAAATGTTTTATCAATTTGTTTACATACATAGGCGCGTACATACATAAATATCAATCAATATGTATATATATATATATATATGTATTATTTCACGTTGCCACTACAGTAAACAATATTAAGAAAATATTTTGGCTTATGTGGGGGACGTGTTTTTTTTTTTTTTTTTCTTCTGTTTCTCCAAATAAAAGATAAGCGCATCCTCATCCCTCATCGTAAGAAATATAGAAAGAAAGAAAGAAAGAAAGAAAGAGTGAAAGAAAGAAAGAAAGAAATGAAGATAAAGTCGGAGAAATCTTTTGGAATCCATTAGACAAAGATGATAATTTGTTGTCTCTCTTATTGAAGGTGTGCCTATACATAGTTATTTATGTATTTATCGACTACAAAGCTTTTTGCGTGCAACTGCTGTTTGGAATGTTGGAGAGATCTTCGTTGTCATTATTGTAATTATCAGTAGGCGTATATGAAATTTTTTCAAATGTTTAAATAAACTGCAAGGTCACGATGAGATCTTCTTCTCAAATTTCGAATATGACTTTAAGGCATTTTTTTTTTTTTTCAAAATATCTTATATCAGTACAGGGGTTCGACCACAATTGATTATATAACAATTCTATCGCCAATATTTTATTAATTGTATATATATATATATGTATTTATGGATATGATTACGCTTAATGGGTTCATGTTGTCCGCTTCGCGGTAAACCATTAACTTATATTAAGATGTTCTGTTGATGCATAAGTAGCAACGGCCTGTGCTACGTTACAATTACGATAGGCGGTGCTTAAGCCTAGCTGACGTATTACCATTATACTAGTTTCGACAGATTTTTGTGAATTTATGGAAGACAAGAAAAAGCAACTCTCTTAAGCATCCGAAAAAGTCGGAAAAATGTTAATTCGCAAACGTTAGACCCGATATCCGATTTTCGCTTATGTTATATACATGATATATGCTAGTTTCATAAGTGCTTTTGACATTTTTGGGAAAAATATTTTCATCTAGATATTAGATAATTAAATTTCGTAACTGTAATTTTAACGAGTTTGTCTAAAGGCTTCCAAAGCAAAATATATGATAAAATCGATATGTATATACGATACGAGTGCGAGTGAAAAATAGTTATGAATGATAAATTTTGGTGGAAATTTCCGAG